GCACCGAGGTGATGCGCAATTGCGCCCAATGGCCTATTACCTGATATGGCTTGACGAAAACATGTGTGTTTAGAAGCATACCAAAGTCTTGAGCCAACTGGAGTTTTTCCTGGCCTCGGAGGGGTTGATTTTTCGTGTCGTGGGGGTGATTACAAAATGATCACAACGAGAATTTTTTCGAATAGTAGGTCTAGGAAGAAATTAAAACACGCTGGGAAAGCAGAAATCTTCAAGCTTCCGGCCACTTTTTTTACGAAAGGTCGTGTTATGAAGCTTGCCATGGACGTCCAAAGCCGTAAGCGACTCGCGGTTCGCGAAAAATGATCACAGATGGATCACAAAGATGATCACAACGGGAAAATCTCTAGAAACCGGAACGTTTTTGGAATCGCGTCAATTCTTGTGATAAGAGCCAACCTAGCTCTACTCATTCCCACTTACCCCTCTCCGATAGCTTCACCTTCAACGAAGTTATGGGTGTTCAAATGAGGGGTAACTTTTTACAGTGTTTGGCTTGAAATTGGCTCCAAACCGTAAAATAGCGGCGCACCAATCGCGCTTTGTATGAGCGCGCTGACCCGCGAACAGCCAAAATTCAAAAGTAATCCATAGTTCGCGGTTCCCAGCCTGAGCGCGTGAGTTTTTCTTACCCATTTTATTGTGAATTACTTTGATTGTTTTGTTTTTATTGAGTTTTGATTTTGTTTGTTGAGTTTGTTTTTGTTGTGAGGAAATTGCGCTCAGGATTCAATTTCTACGTTTCATAGCGTAGCTTTTGCAATGGATTCTTTTCTAGATTTTGCGGATTAGTGGGGTCGGGATTTACCGTAGACCAGATGAGGAGGGTTGGTGGCGTGAAGTGTCTTGAAGTTTTTTGTGAGAAAGGAGCAAAAAGTTTCAGCAATATTTTTTTTAGTTTTTTGGCCTAGGAATAGTTCGATAGTGCCCTAGTTCTAATTACTGTCCATCTACATTCGTCCCTTTTGAGCTCTTCTTTTTACTTGTACCGTGTATCAATCACCGCTCCTCTCCACTTCAACATGCGGCCATGCGTTTACGACCCCCCCTCCATCGCGCGGCAAATACGACCCCCCCTGTTGTGATGATCACAAAGATGGCGTGCCCTGCGGCCCTTGGTATGGGGGAGTAGGGAGTAGTAGGCAAGCGGCCCGATTAGAGGCGCGTCTGTGACAATCTGCGTGCACCGTCGCAACTCGCACTCGTCGTACAACTTGACTACACCGTACATTATATTGCATGATTCAGAATTATGGAATGGAAACACTCCATCTCCGGGATACAGAGGGAATAAATAAGGGATTAGGTTGGTGATCGTTCCGCACGTGCTCTCAGAAGAAACCTAACAAACTTTATGAACTTTCTTTGCGTTCGTCAGTAGGTGACGCTTTGTGGTGGTATATCGCACAACTTTACAAATTAGTATAAAAAAGCCTAGATTAATCACTTCATGTGAACCCAGATTGTCCAACCCCCGCCTACCCTCCCCCCCCCCCTCGAACCAGCACTGTTCTGGTTTTCCATACATTCTTCGAAGTAATACTATCCCCCACTGGGCTAATAGCTCAACTTACCCACTGTTCAAAAATCACATACCGACTCCCACTCATGAAGCCCTCCATCCCTCTATGCTCGATTAACCGATCCCAGACCCGTGAGGGCGAATAAACGCTAGTGACATTGACTGATTCCGACAAGCCATTGTATGTATAGATCGAATAGCTTTCAAAATGTTGCTGCGATTCTGAATGGGAGCAGAGAATGCGACCTATCCTAATTATGAGCTGAGCAGCGCCCAACGCCATTCCGTCTCCAAAGAGCCCCCGTGCAGAGACTACAGGAAAACTTTCCTGGAATGTTGTCTAGTTCGTACTTTGGCTAGTGCATCCTTGGCTGAAGAGCTACTGCAATTTCAAAGTACTGAAGCCTGCAAGGTAATAGGGCAGTAGATGCACGTGAAACCTACTAGAGCATTTTGATAAAGGTAGGGTAAATCACAACAAAAAGCTACCAGGTGATCGTAGTTAGGTCCCTAAATCGGGAGAAGAGGTCTCGGTTGGGCTCAAAGGAACAAAACATTGCAGGCCACTTGAAAGTACTGATGAAAGAACTGTGAAAAGAACAGAGCACGCGCGAAAGCGCTGGAAGCGTAAAATCTTGCGGCAATGACAGTTTTTATCAAGGGAATTTTATAAGGAGATGTGCTTGCCAGCTTCGTAAACGCCTCGTTATCTTTTATCAAGAAGGAAGTTGAGCGGCAAAACCTGGTCACCATTATGCGCGGCTGCTCTACGATAATGTCACGGAAACGTTGCGAGCATTTTTTCAAAGTTCTCGTTTACACCTCATGAATGGCGAAAAATAAAACACTACAAAATCCTTCAATGACTGACTGCAGGAATTGGACCTTTGTCGAGCTTCAGCGCCAGAAATGAATGTCATATTCGTGATTATCGAGCAACATCTATAGGCAAAGTTTCAGCGAAAAACTTTTTTTGAGTTTTCGAGGTAAGAATATTTCAATAGTGCCCAACAATTCCTTACAAAATAACATCAATTATTTGAGCTTGCTGGGAAGCAAGGAACGAGAGGATACCTGTCTCTTCAGGCTACAAGTCCTCCATCTTGTCTTAGAGTAGCCACTTTTGCCTAGACCCGCTAGTCTAGCCCTCCAGATGGATTACATACTTCAAAATCGCGGCAGCTGGCCGGCTAAATCCAGGTCTTGGTATCGTTCATGTTGGAACACGATAATACAACCAATCGGGGGCCTGGCATTGTGACGAGCAGCTAAAACCTTCTGGAAAAGGTGTAGTACCATCCACTTGTCGATCTGGCTCACGAGAGGCAGGCAATAGCTATACTCGAAAACCCTGAGATCGGGTAGGCGGTGTTTTGAACTGCATCACTGTTCAAATGAGGTTTTGGTGGTTCAAGTGGTAGGTACATGTTTATTGATAACACATAGCGCATACAACGTGACTACAATCATTAAAACTACAAGCATAAACATATGAGGTTAAGCTACTAGTATATTCGTGTCAAGTGCAAGTTAAGTTGTGTTGTCTTGTGTTCTTCTTCAGGCGATAGCGGGTCCGCAGTGTCTTGTGTCTCGTCTCTTGTGTAGGCACATCGTGTTCGTTCTCATTTCTGTGTGCTCGTAGTGTTCGGGTAGAAGTGTGGAGCTGCGAAAGCAGCTAAACTGCAAGGAGAAACTGTGAAGAGCTGAGCTGAGAAGAGGAGCTGACTGTGGAGAGGAACTGACTGAACTGCACTGACTGGCGGCACTCAGCGCGCTACCTTTATAGCCCTGATTATGGGCGGTATAAATACTGGCTGAGGTGGGCGGTGCCAAGGCCTCCTATGTTAGTTGTAGGCGGGTGAGCGAACTTTCTAGAAAAGTGTGCATTTGCGACCCGTGCATCCTAGTCATCATGCCAAGGGTCATGACACTCGCCGCACGACCAGAGAAGTTTAGAAATTGCAAGTACATAAATGCCGTTTGCATCCTCCCCGCCGCCGAAGAATTGGTATTTGTATAAGTGTATTTTTGTTGCGTTTTATGTGTTTTTTTTGTAGTAGTGTCCGGAGTCACATCCTACAGTAATACAGTATGGAATAACACAGTAATAAGAGTATAAAGTAGTACAGTAATAATAGTGTGGAGTAGTACAGTAATACAACAGAACCTACAATAGCGAGAGTAGGAGGAAAAAGGAAAAAATTGATGCTGCCATAGCAGGCTTGACGACGTTGCTAGGCCGATGGCGTTGACTGTTGATTGCCGAAGTGCAGAACGCTGATGGTGTTGTAGTGGTAGTGACATGGTACAGATCAATGTCTGAACAGACGTGAAAACCGAGAATTCGTAGTGGTAGACGAAGAAGTCGTGTTGTGAAGGAAAGGAGCTGCTTGAAGACCAACGCTTATGAAGAGAATGAGTTGAGGGGAGGAAAATTGATGCGATTGTGACCATAGTGCGAGATCCTGCTCGAGGTTTTGGTGTCTGTGAGCAAAGGAGTCGATGGCTGACCACTAACAGCGCTAGTAAGAAGAGAAGGATTGTCACTGAGATGGATAAGGAATTGTTTGCAAGTGTGAATGAATGGAAAAGTCTGGTAAAGCTAGGTCGAAGTGATAGATGCCATTGTCAGTAACTGTGTCGTTGTTCCATAAGCGAATTTTAGTTCCGCAAGGGCTGTATGCCGCTTGATGTAGTTGAGAGTGCCTTGTAATTCAAATATTGTGATGTGTGTACCGCACTGTGCTCTGCAAGTTTCATGTACTTGGGTTTGTTAAAAAATAGACGCACGTTGTTTGGAGGTACCCGATAGACTGCAGGTCAATGTGAATGTCTGTTGACACAATTGACTTGTGCAATGACTGGGAATGTCAGATTTACTAAGAATTGTGGCTAAGGAACTTTACAGCGCAGTAGTAGCATCCGAGAAAATGTTGTGGAAGATAAGGCACTGAAAATCTTGTATTCTTTGCTTGATATTGGATGTTGGCGTTTAGTGTAAGCATGAGGTCGACGGATATAGCGGTTGTCCTTACGGTAGGTATTTTGTTGAGGCCTTCAGTGGATACCCAGACCGTTTGGTATAGGAAGAGGAAGGGTATTGGAAAGTTGGGTGATGTGGGAAACGTTATTGTTGGTGCAATAGCAGGTGACGAAATCTTCAGCAGGTTTGCATTTACAGGTATCTTTGATGATGCAATCATTAGTGCCGTTATGTGGTTTATTTGGGTTAGTGTTGCATGCGTAGCTGAATTCGGTTTCTGTGTGAACATACGCTGTTGTCTGGTTATTACTGATAAATCGTTGATGAAGGATGGAGAGTGGTGTAGAAGAAATGCTTGTAATTTCAAATGTTGTGTTTACAATGCATTTTTAGTACAGGGTTTTAGTTCAATGTTTCGCGATATATGGCTAGTGCCTTGAGTCTGCACGTTGATCGATATGGTCTGGAACCAAGATGTTAAAGATGTTTCATTGTCTTGAGTTGAGGAATCATTTGCATAGTGATTCGTTTAGGGTCTTCGTATTGGTTCTTAAGTTGTTGCATTGCTCGTTCATAAGAGTCGCCTGTTCGAAGAATCATTCGCAAGGAGGAGCGTGCTGCATCGCCTTTGCAACTCGTTAGGGTCACCATGGAATTCCGGCACTTTGAGATAGCTACTAAGGAGGCGTTGTTCGATTGTGAGGGAGTTCATTGGGTGAACTAGTGTCGCTTGAGGTTCCGATTCTCTCTGCGCTGTCACGGTTGGAGTACTGTTGTAATTGTTCTTTATGAGTGTTAGCGTTGCTTCTTGACAATCCAATTCAGTCAGTCTGTTGTCGAGTTGTTGAGTAATCTTCCCTGCGAGGTTAAGTAGGGTGTACCCTCGTTTGTCTTCCCAGTGTGCATCAATTTGGGGTTGAAAAGTAGTACCGTCACTGTTGCTGGAAGCTTGAACAAGTGATTCATAACGTGCGCCCAGCTTGTCGGATTGTTGCTCTATTCTACGTTTAAGATTTGTAAGCGTTATTCTTTGTGTGGTGATGAAAATTTTAAGATCGGAGCTCTCAGTTGGGAAGACCCAAGTGGGACTGTATTCATTAGCTTCGTCTAATAGTGCTTCGAGAGTGTGTATTTGTCTCGTGAGTTGTTGTTTAGCTATTGTGATTTTGGGAGCAGATGTTGTTGTAGAGGTGGTCATGGACGAACAAGTGAGGTCCTAGCTACTGGATGCGTTTATATACTCTATGAAGTGGGCAGAAGGGCGGTGCCTAGGTTTCTGATCGTGGATCCTATGTTTATATCACATCTGCGTTTGTCTTATGTTTATCTGGTGAACGTATGCTGTCAATGGTAATAAATGAACTGCACTAATCGTTCTTTAGATAGGGGCGGCGCTACGTTCGTTTTCTCATGTGTGAATTAATCGGTGTTCGCCGCATAGTGAGTGCATATAAAGAGGTGCTAGGCGTCTAGAGTGTATTGCGACATGAAGTTGCGACATTAGGAACGGGCAGTAATCAAAGTTCATTCAGTGCAACCAAAACAGTTGGCGTACATATAATGTGGTTTGTCAAATTTTACGTTTTGTCCTATTAGTGTGGATGTTTGTTTTATTGTGTATTTGCGTTACTTCTTGTTGTCGTTGCGAGTGATCGATTGCTGCTGTTGATGGCG